CTTCTTACAATTGCAATGAGACACCCAAGTCATTTTCCGAATTGGGGTGGCCTTGAGGGAGCAAATGCGTGCGCGAGGGGAATCGAAAGATCATTCTTCCGCTACGCGTCGGCCGAAGCTATCGAGCTGATCACGGTTGACTCCCCGCGCAAAAGGACACCGCCCAAGAAGAATGAAGCAGTCGCTGAGATCGTCAACAACATGTCCGCTGACCTCGTGATTGATTTCACAGTGATCGTCGATGGTGATATCTACCCTGTAGAGATTGCGAGAACCGACGAGACACAGGCCGCTGACAACGTCACGGACGATCCAGGGTTCTCAGTTGCTCCACCAATACCTGCACAGGATGTAGATGTGGATGCGCAACCCGAAGAAGAACAAGGTGCAGAAGGCCCTGATCCCAGGCATGCAATTCGTGAAGGATTTGTCGCGCAGCTTCAGGACTATGTGGGAGTACTCGCTCAGGGCGAAATGTCGGTCGGAAGCGACCGCCTCACGTTCTGTGTCGCTTGTGGCAGTGATCTACACACTCTGTCCAATTGCACAGAAAATGCTGCGACCCGGGATCTGGTACTTCGAGGCGTCCAGATTATCAAGGAAAGCCTTCTTCGATATCCACGTCGAGTACCTCCACAAGAGGCTGAGCCAATGGACGTTGACACCACAGACCATGTGAGTGTTGCATCCTCGGACCGACGACCCAAGGCCAAAGCCCGACCGCGACGCGGAGGCGAAGCCGTACGGGGTGATGTGGTCTTGATCCGTTATGAGAACAAACACAATCTCTGCACGGATGTGGAGAACCGTCGGGGCCTACATGATGCTTGTGGCGTACCACTGCAGGAATCGGGACCAGAGAATAGCCAGCGAGTGGTGGACCTCATTGAGCAGCTTTCGGACCATCGCGACCGACGCCTACCTCAACGAGGAGACCGTCCTAGCTTTGCTTACGATGATACCACTCATAGCTACACCAATGCAGGCTACGAATCCATCGGCGGCGGAAGGCCAATCCGGTGCGGGATTCTCGACCTGATCCCAACCAAGGGTGCAAGCTTCATCAACAATCGATGGGACCTCGTGAACGAAGTTGTCCTTCGCGACATCACCCGTCAGCGCAGACTGAACGCGGATTGGGCGCTATCATGCATCCAATCTGACCTGCGCCACAGAATCGCCAGGCGCCCAGGCTCGGAATGGCTTGACAACAGGTGCCAGGTGGCATTCAACAGTGTCATCAAATGTGATGAAGGAGGGTGGGTGATGATCGAAGATTTGGTGAGGCATGAGCCACTATGGACCCATGAAAGCAGACGCATCACCGAAGCGGTCTCAAGGACCGATGAGCAACAGAAGAAGAGAGTGTACAATGAAAGACTTCAGCTATTGTTCCAAGGGAACATGATTGCAGCCACGAAACGCCACAAGGCCAAGATTCGGTTGCAGTTCCTGGGTGTGAGAGTGAAGGACCCCGGCACGGAAACTCTTGGATCAGCAGGTTCGAACAGGTTGGTATCGGTTCAGGACCAGATCACGGAGATCCAGAACAATGATCATTGCCGGCACGGCCAGAGGTACCTGAACATGTGCAACGGCTGGGTGAAGCCATGGGCAGTTCGGGCTACGAGTGGTCACTCTGCGCACTCAGATCCCCAGAACAACTTGCTTCAGTTGGACAAGAACAGGTTCGCAATATCTCCATCTATGACCCTCTTGCAACGTCTTGGAGGTGCGTTCCACGCTACGGCATGCCGCAACTTGGATTCCATTGTCACGCAAGGCATCATGCCTGGTTCGGAGGACCCCGACGGGGACTTCGACCATAGGCGCCAATTCCGAGGCAACCAAGGTGGCAGACTCCACAGCTATTGGGGGGTGTTTGCGCCGTTCGATCACCGGAATGCAACGACCAAGATGCGAGTACATGGACGAGACGCCAAGCACATGCCACTGGCGGTCCTTCATGTCCCATCGCAGGACCTTGCACGAGAAGATGGACGTATCACAGACAGCGGCATCATGATCGTTGGCCGAACGATACCTTTCCATTTCGTCAAGGAGGTATGGTTTTGCGTCCCGGATCCTCGAGATACACACTCTTTCGCTCTGGTGGAAAAGATCTACGATGAACGGTTGGAGAAAGAGCTGGTGTTGGACTACAATGCATCACCGTTGCTTCCTGAGTTCGAGAGATACCGAACGCCAAGCAAGATCATGGAATTGCTTTGCGAGATGCCTCCTGGACCCCACGACACAAGCAAGGAGCAGATCATTCGAGACCTCACGACTGTCCTGGAGTCCCACAGGGAGAACACGGTTCGGCATCACTACATGGACAAAGGAATCAAGTTTGTCATCAAGAATTGGCGACCCGAAGACCTACGCAGAGACGAGGATGGACGGAGAATGAGGGTATGCCCGGCATGCTACAACATCGTTCCAGCATGTTTCTCCCGATGCACGTCTTGCTGGTCACAGTTCGTTTCGAGCGGATATTACCAAGGTTCTCCACAACGGGAGACTCCTACGGAGATCCCCAGTGACTTCATTGCTCAGACAATGGAAGCCGCAGCAGCCGCAGTGCCTGAGGCGCCCGAAGAGGAGCAGGAAGCCATGGAGGTAGAGACCGTTGCGGAACCTGAGGAAATCCCAGAACCATCTGTCATCGCGGAGGACGATCCAGAACAGGAACCTGATGAAGAAATGGACATAGAGCCAGGAGAGGACTTTGATGACGCAGTACCAGAAGCAATTGCACAGGAACGTCGTCCCGTCTTCGTTACCGGCCAGTCTTTGAACATCGATCCTGAGCTACAACTTGCACGTACCGCCATGCAGCCATCCTACTATTCTGGAAAGCGAAATGCCCATTGCATTGACGCGAACATGACCGCTCTTTCGTACATGGCATACGTGGTATGCAGATCCATCTACAAGGCTTGGTCAGGATTCGCAAAGTGGGCGACTATGCCGTTGTTCCAGATGAGGGAAAGTTTCGCACTTGGCCAACGCTATGATGTGCTCGGAAAGTGGGGATCTTTGGCGGCAGTGGATAGGGAAACGGGTGTGAGCAAGGATGTGACTGATGAGGAGATCATTCGCTTTGCCAAGGAGCCTGAGAACCTCAAGCAGTATGATCCCAACGGGACTTACACCTTGAAGCGCTTCCGGACGAACCAGATGCTTTCGTTGCTTACACGGGGAGCCAACATGATGGGAATTGGCAGGGACAACTTCAACCCTACTACTTACTTGAAGAGCGAAAGGGATGAAGATGTGAAGGCTATGCACTTTTGTTGCCTGAACGTCCTGTGCGAGGTGATTCCAATGGTGACGGGACACCAACAATTCTCAGTGCTACGACCAACGCCAACTGGACCGGTGGACTTCTTGTACATCGACCCCGTCGGTATCCTGCTGACTCATTCTGATCAGTCAGTCCAGACCATCGGCTTGCTGGTGGACCACAATGTGCAAATGCCTGCGCATTTCATGGACAGATTGAACAGATCCAAGGTTGAGAGACAGCAAAACCCGACGACCAAGCGTACTGAAGCCCTACACCACATTTCGGCCGCTGACTATCTCCCTCCAGGTGGTACTTCCATCCTGGACACGCCTGTCACTACGGAGGAACGTGAAAGCGCTTCTTCGGCCAAGGGACCTTCAAAAGGGCGTGGGAGAACCGGAGGTGAGCAGCATGGAGGCTGGAACTCCAACTCCTACTACGACTACACCGCCGGCAAAGGCCGAAACAAAGGCAAGGACAAGGGAAAGCATCGGGAACAGTATCCAGAGGAAAACCTCCGGCCCTGGGACCGCGATCCTGCGACCACGCGAAGATGGAGATGAATCAACGCTTGGTCTTCCTCGCCTATCAGTTCGTGACCTCTGAGCTTCGCCCATGGAATGCCATCGCGAATGCTTCTTTCTTCGGTGACGCCTGATTCGTTTGTCATTTCAGGGGATCGTTACTGACGTAGATGAGTGTCACAACGTTTCTAATTGGGATGCAAAGCTCTGATTTTCAATGTCAACGTTGCGGCGGAACATTTTCTGTTGTCCTATCGTGCCATCTTCCGGGTGAGCAGCGTCGGAGACGCAACTCATGGGGGGTGCGAACGGACTGCGATGCCTTGTCAAGTTCTAAGGTGTCACTATAAGAGCTGTGAGCAAGACCGTGTAAAGTGCAAGAGAAGGGGGCACGCTACGCGTCCCTCGACTCTAAGGGGGCATGCTACGCATCCCTCATCTTTACCTTTCTATGTGACCGCCAACGCAACGTTTGGCTCAAGTCAATGCCCATAGCTAAGTGCTATATGTGTCTTCTATCCTGAGCAATCAGAGCTATCCCGTTGCACAGACGAACCGCCGCCGGCAGTGAGTGCAAAAGGAACGGCCGCCGGTTCTGCCTGCATAGGATTGCACGTGTGGAAGTAAGAGGGAGAGACAGGGTCCAGTCTGTGGAGAGTGCAAGCCAGCCACACCTACATTCATTACAGCTCTGGTGGGGAGAGCAGCAACCAAGTCGAGATCAATCCCCCACGCATATGGTATATTCCCTATTATGGGTAATGCAGGATTTCTATCATCAGCCCGAAACACCCTATAGATCCCTTAAAGGAACCCCTTGAAGGTACCCTTTTTGATCCCTTTACAGGAATCCCAGGTTTTCTATCACCAACCGTATAATGATGGTACATGGAGCCTTTGGGACCTAGGAGTCTCTGGGTTCCTGTTCGGAAAAAAGCGAAGGAGCCTCCACCCTGAACCCTAAACCCAGAACCCTAAACCCTATACCCAGGACCCTGAACCCTAAACTCAGAACCCTGACCCTCTACCCAGAACCCTGAACCCTAAACCCTACGGGTAAGTGTTCGGAAAAGAGCGATGGAACCCTTATAGGGAACCCTTATAGATCCCTTTAAAGGGACCTTCATAGATCCCTTAAAAGGGACCCAACAAGTCTCTGGGTTTCTGTTCGGAAAAGACGCAAGGCGGCTGCCTCGCCTGGCTCCGTGCGCGGAGCCTGGGCCATGGACCCAGGCGAGGATCCGCGGTGCCCGGAGACTCCTAGGTTCCCTTTAAAGGGATCATTAAGGGAGGATCAGGGTTCCTTAAATCTAAGGGTTAGAAGTATGGGCCCCTAATATGGAGTTCTAGGGACCCTTAAGAGTCTATATAGGGTATATAGTAGGTTCCTTTAAAGGGGTCTATAGGGAGGGTCAGACTCCAAGATTACGTAATTAAGGAACACCTAGGGTTCCTTTTGAAGGGATCTATAAGGGTTCCTTTAAAGGGATCTATGGGGAGGGTTTGAGGTTCTTTGAGCAGTAAAGGATTAGGGGTTAGGGTTTAGAGGGTTTTGGTTAACTAAGGAATACCAAGGGTTGCTTTGAAGGGATCTAGGGATTTAGGGAGCTATTATCAGGGCTCCTTCAAGGATTCCTATGAGAGATCTATAGGGCATACGGTTTAGGGCTTAGGGGACTCCGGTGCCCAGAGTTCGGGACCCCAAAAGGACATAAGTCACATAAGCATAAGTGTTTTATAGGGATATCCCCCGTTATTAGGCTTCATGATAAGGGGTTTATATGGGATATCCCTATCCTTGTTTTTGCTTATGTGTTTTCTTGGGGCCCTACCAGAGACTCCAAATTCCCTTTATTAAGGAACAGAGCTTTTTACCCCTAAGGGTTCCTTGTCCTGAAAGGGGTCTGTAAGGATTTTATAAGGGAATTACGGAACAGATCTTAAATCAAAAGGCTTCTTTAATATTTCCTTAGTCAACGCGTTTTGGAGTCTCTGTGTGGAGAGCTCGTTTTAGTTTTCTGTTCGGTCAAGGGTTTTGTAAGGTTTGAGGGTCTCTGTATGGGTTTTGGTCGAGGGTTTTACAAGGGTTGTTTTTCACTATAGGGTTTCTATAGGCTTACTTGGGGCATTATGTGGATCCTCTGGGGTAGTATACGAGTCAGTGACATTGTATCGCATGCCAAAGCCCTCTCCTAACTAGCACGGCCTTTTGCGCTCGTTTTGGCGACTTCGGGGCTGAAGGTTGAGAGTTTGCGATTGCGCGTAAGACAGCGGGGTTTTAGTGTCGGGTTGGAGGTTTAGCTGTCGGGGTTGAGGGGTTGGTTTTGAGGATTTTGATTCGGTTGGCGTCCGGGGTTTCGAGTTTAGAGAAGTTACAGAGTGTTTAGGGCTTTAGGTGGCTTGTAGGAAATTATGTCATCACTGGCGGCGGTTGCTGGTAAAAGTCAGCTTAGGGTTGATGGTGTTACAAAGCCTTTGCATAGACTTAGCGAGTAGAAGCGCGGCTTAATTTCTGGTGAAGCTCTCATACATGCCGCTATAACACTACACAGAAGCCGACAAGGCCCTTGTAAAGCCGTTGCACGAAGCCATATGAAACCTTTAACCTATGAAAATGAGACTGCAGACTACCTCCTGGAATTTTGTAAAGCCCTACAGGAAACTTTACATGAACCGGTATCAAAAACTCAACGCGCCCTTCTTGAAGTCTGGTGGAAACTCACGGAAAGCAAGGAAAGAAACCCGTGAAGGAAGCGTGAAGCCCACGCCAAACCCGAAAAGTTCTCTAAAACGAAAGCCGCAAATGTAATTGGAACCCTACACACTCTAAACTCGTATGAGCCATAAGAGAACCTCCGGAAACCATACAGAACCAGAGTCGAACATAGACTCTTGCGAAAACCCACTTCAGGGCCTGCCATGAAGCCTTAGCACTACCCGCCTTGATGGAGAAAGGGCCCTTTTGCGTTCGAAAACTTGTCTGGCATCCTTCACTTTAAAGTAGCCCTGACTCCCCAACTAACCAAAACCCTGTAAAACCCTGCACACGCTGCTTGAAACCCTGAAGAAGCCTCGAGGGAAACGTTGTTGCAATCCCAAGTAGGCAGACCAAATCCTAAAACCCTGAGCCGTAAATCCGAAACCCTGAGTCCTCCAACTTAAAACCGCAAGCTCTAAATCTAAAATGATAGGATCCTCTTAGTAGCTGAGTGGATACACTTTACACTTTTTGGGATAATATTTCCCGCTATGAAACCAAAAGTGACACTTTTGGGAGCTTGAAAACTCAGCCACTAAGTCCTTTAAGGATCCCTTAAAGGAACCCTGCAGGATCCCTCAAAGGAACCCCTATAGAGGTGCTGTCCGCCCTTCAGCGCCTCATCGTGCCGGGCCGCTTGGTCACCTGGCAGCCCGACACCGAGAAAGAGGCCCCCGTTTAGGGGTTTAGGGATTATACAGGGGTTCAGGGTTTAGGGGTTATATAGGGGTTTAGGGGTTCAGGGTTTGGGGGGTTTAGGGTTTTAGGGTTTAGGGGTGTAGGGGTTTAGGGTTTAAGGGTTTAGGGTTTTGGGCTTTAGGGATTGGTTTGTGCTTCGGAGGTTTTAGCATCCTTTCCCCGGAGAATCCAAGTATTCCCTACTGTGGGACTTTGTTTATTTTTTGGCAATAAAAACCCATAACTGAGGACTACCTGGACCCTGAGGGTTTTGCAGTCGTAGGGTGTCAAAAGATGGTTTGTTCGAGGGTTCTTTCTTTGTGTGTGTGTGTCTGTGTCTGTGTCTGTGTGTGTGTGTGTGTGTGTGTGTGCATGTGTGTGTCTGTGTGTGTGTGTGTGCGTGCACGTGTTTGCGACTTGTTTTTTGTGTTCTCATAGGTTGCAGGGTGGTTTATTTGAAGCCTTTAGACAAACCCTGGAGCACTGCACCATAAACACTAAGCCTAAACCCCAAAACTCATAATCCGTAGACGTTCCCTGGTTCTTGGTAGGGAATGGGGGACAGGGTGGGAGGAACCCTTTAGCGACTATCATAGTGATCAATTCCCCGGTTCCCTACTAAGAGCCAAGGCGAAGCCGACCCTAAATCCTGGAGCTTAAAAAACCTGGACCCCGAACCCCACTAAACCCTAGCCTTAAGCCTTAAGCCTTGCGCCGCCATGGCAGTAGAAGGCCTTTTGGGAACCCTTATAGACAGCCGTATTTTGAGCACATGACACCTTGGCAATACAGCTTATAAACCCCTATGCAATAACTCACCATGAAGTATCCCTCATGAAGAACACTCTTAGGGTTGCCACCGCCGGATGCACATCCTCTTCATGACTGGGCATTATGGCACCATTGTGATCTATCACAAATGCAATTCATGGTGAGGCAATGAATTGGTGGAATCATGTTTAAGGGTTATTTGGGATACCCGGGCCATCCCTTGGATGTTCGTCTGGGTGGCTGTTGTCTGAAGCTTCAGAGCTGGTGCTTAACTCATCACTTTGTCATAGTTGGGTAACATTTTACATGTTTATGGGTACTTAAACCCTAGAAGGAATACAAATGTCAATTTTTAACCCTATACCAACCATGAACTAGTTTTGCTGTGATTCGAGGCGGGTAGCGGGGAGCGGTTTGATAGTCGTTACTGGTGTATTGCTGTTATTCTGTTACCCTATGCTTCCAAGGACCTTATAGCTAGGACCCTAGACCCCTTCAGTTCAAATGGTTGTGCAGCTGACAAAAAGGGCTCAAAAAGGAAAGACCCCTTAAGGACCCAATAATAAGCTCCTTGGAAGCTTAAGGTAAAGTATATTCAATATATTCCTTAATTAAGGGATATCGGAGCCCCCTAAACCCTAAACCCTATAGATCCCTCATATATCCCTTTAAAGGAAGTTAATTGTGCTCATGGTGTTCCTCGCACGTTTCCGTGGTTTGCGGAGGTCTGTAGGGCTGGCTACGCATCTGACACGTCGGTCTCCTCATTATAAGGGGCCTTAACGGGCCTCTTAAAGGGGCTCCGATATCCCTTAATTAAGGAATATACTTTTACCCTAAGCTTCCAAGGAGCTTATTATTGGGTCCTTAAGGGGCCGAGGGTCCTAACTATAAGGTCCTTGGAAGCATAGGGTAACATATTAACACCTGTCCTGAACCCCGTCGTCTGCCTTGTCTGTCTTTTGCGAGTTGCGAAAGCCAAACAAAAAGACCTTAAGCCCGAAAACCGCTGCAGCAAGAAGCCCTCATTGAAACCCTTCTAGCCTCATACAGACATCCTTTTAAGGAATCCCTAAGCCTTTTGCAGCACTGCGATCTTCTTGGCCGCGTCCTGGAGACGTGTGGCGACTCGGCGAAGGTGGCTTTCAGGCCGCACGGCAGGGCTGCCTTTTGATGGGGATCTCGGTTTGGGTTCAGGGTCCTTGTTTGAGGTGGATCTCCGTTGAGGGTTTAGCCTTCCTTTTTTTGGGGGTGGAATCTCGGCGGGTTCCTTTGCGGGGTGGATCTCGGCTGAGGGTTTAGGCTTCCTTTTGGGGGGGGATTTCAGTCCAGGGTTCAGGGCATTTCGGGGATTCAAACAGCCCAAGCCCAAAGTAAGGACTGTTTGTCTGTTTGCCGACATAGACCCCAAAGTATGTCTTAGCTCTATATACTTGGAGCCCTAGGGTTTCGGAGACTTTTCCTGGGTTCTACATGTGGGGTTTCTTATGGCCTTTATGGGTTCTATTCTTCTCGGTGGTTTCGGGCTTACGGTTTTGTACACTTTCTGTGATTTGTGGAAAGGGTGGGGTTGCGAGGATTCTACAAAGATTCCACCATTGCGCCTCGGCAGAGCTTCAAGAGCACGGGCCCCAAAACCCTATTCTGATTATTAAGCCAACAAAGTTTACATGAACTCTATGTGTACATGAATGCTTGGGGAGTAGCTGTATGCCACTAACCAAAGATGGCATGACATAATATGATAGTAGCGGCAACGAAGCGAGAGATCTAGTACCGTGCAGTAATGAGTCACCATGGAACGATGCAGTGTGTGTCAGACGGTATCCCCGTGGCTCAGATAATCCTTGCCTTTGTATCCGGGGCTGGATACACTCATGCATTATTCAGACTGTCTTGGTTCAACTATGCCTCTCCTTGCATGTCATGATGCTTTCCCGACACGATATCCTGGGCCCTGAAGTTAAGCTCTTCATCTAACCCTGACATCAAAGCTCCAATGCACTCTCAACTCTGCCTTGGCCAAAGAGTGCTCAGACTGACTCCCCGTGGCCTCGCTTTGACGCAGCATGCATCCGAAACTCGCTGGACCCGCAACGCTGAGCCCCGAAACCGTAAACCATAAACCGCAACCTCAACGCCCTACACCCGAAAAGGACCCTTAGCACCGTAAACTCTATCTTCCTTTCTGTTGCAGGGATTTGCCAGAGGGCGCGTGGCTCCCATGTGCAGCACTGCAGCCGGAGCGCGGCATGTCGCATGACGACATGTTCCTGGTGTGGGTGAGATGTATCACGGGTTACTTAGAGGCAAATGTAGAGCTTCGGAGCGATCTTTCGGATTTGGCAAACTTTGGGCTTGGGCCCGAATCCTTCGGTTTCTTGCAGCCTTTCCTTCTGTTTTTGATTTGTGGGGTTTGGCCGCAGCCAGCTGCACTGCCTCGTAGAAGGCTTGCTTGCTGCTCACGCATCTTCCCGCAACCGATTTCCAGTGGACAATCCAAGGTTGAAGTAAATTGAATTTGATTGGGCGCCGGCCCAACATGTACTACAGAGGCCTTAATAATTACCTATACTATTTTGGGGTTTCTTATTTTAAGTATAATATAAAAAGCACCAGAAGCCATATATTAAGGCCACAACATGTTCAGGGTTCTATGGGCTCCATCCACGGCACGCAAGGCCTTTCGCATCTGTCGACTGCAAGGTCCATGATCTCGTTTCCAAACTTCGTTGAACTTTTCTCGAGGGAGAACCTTAAGTCGTTTCGACGGGTGCTATAGAGGCTGGAATCATTACCAATACTACTCCTAGGGCTCCTTATTATATTGTACTATAATGTACCCTGAAATCCTTATTCCCCCTATGTTGCGTGGGTTGGATGCTTTAGTGAGTCGTCCTTGCAGGACGGGCGGGCCAGGCCTTCACGGCTTTGAGCACTTAAAACTGCTCTGCTGTTAGGCTTAGGGGTTAGGGTTCAGGGGACTTGCGATGAAATCGTAGTGCAAGAGGCACTTCAGAGAGACTTCGTTCAGGAAGGGTTTAGGGGACTTCATAAGTATTGCTTGTGTTCGGCAGGATTACGACGCTGAGCTCTGCTGCCGACCAGGCACAAGAGTTTGGTGGCAGGAGGGCCGCATGACTGGCCTATGCGATGCACGTGTTTTTTTGTTACATTTTGGACTGCAGTTGGTTACGATAATTTCGTTTAAGAAGCGCATGAACTTATGCAGATGTCGTTCATAATAGTCGTGGGAAGGGAGCATCCCTTGGTCTGCGCTGTTTCAGCATAGGCGGGTATAGAGGTTTGGGAAGACTACGGATGTGTAGCAGACATGCGCACCCTAGAAGTCCGGCTGGACCGAGCTGTACTTGGAGGGGCAGGGGACGTAGTAAGCAGGTTATAAGTAGAGTTATAAGTACCCTAAATGGAGTTATCCCAAGTATAACCCTGCTTATAAACGACTTACTAAGTCCCCTGCCCCTCCAGTAGGACATGTAGGACCGCCTGAATGGCATTCGTCTGGTTTCCACGGTCCACCATGTTCAGAGCATGTTGGTTGTGAGGTTTAGGATCTCGAGCCCTAAACGCTATGACTATGCCTGAAGCCTGAAAACCTATATACCTTGTTTCTATTCGCTTTAAACGGTTACAGGTAGGCCCTTTCCAGTTCAAAATTCAAGACAGAGCTAGCCCTATGGCTACAGTACATGTACAAGAACTGTTTGTTCCCAGGTCTCAGGCCTTAATGCAGATCTATAGGCACCCTTTTACGGCTTCTGTACATACTATGCAGGCCTACCCCTTTAAAGTTTAAAGTCCCAGTATATTCTGTACAGGTACATGGATCGGACCGTGCTGCCCAGGCCTCGAAGTTACGCGTGCCGTGGTGGCAGGCCCGTCGGAGACGCACGCAACGGCCACAACGCCGCCAGACCGAAAAGTTCAGCAGTTGTAATCCTAAACCCGAAACCCTATAAGCCTAGTCCGACCCCATGAAGCCCTGCCTGCGTGAGCGAGTTGTGAGAGGCGAAACTCTATTCCGGGACTTAATCGGGGAAGGACATGATGAGACTGTGGATGTACAAAATCTTGCGTCAATTTTCAGTAGCGTCATTTCATGATTCCCCGCGCCCCCTTTTGAGCGTTGGCTCTGAAAAGGCTAGAGACCAGAGTTGCTCCAATGGCCGAAATCTTGCGTTTTGCAGAAAATTAGAGGGCGTTTTGTGTTCTGAACGTCCCGAACAGCCACGAATGCTGTATTTGCTAGCATTTCGGCAGTGTTAACTGGCCGGCACCGGCATGCTCTCATGCCAGCTCAAAGGCCGCCTAACCGGTCTCACACTGGCAATAACTCAAGCTCATACAACATACCAAGCAACACTCACCGAAATGGCCCGGAGTTCGGGCTAAAGTTGGAGTTGCAGTATTCTTGTCCTGTCTTGTGTGGAGTCGGTCGACCCTTTTCAGCAGCAGCCTTAAGACTGCCATCAAGCTGACAAATGCTGTGTTGTTTCTTTGCGCTTTTGCTTTAGGCGGCAAGTTAAATTTGTTTAAAGGCTGTTTCGAGGCGTCGTCCGGGTTCGTAGATAGGTTGTAGAAGGATTTGCCATGCTGAAATGTTGTGAAGCGAACACTTGTCAGTAAGATCTTGCAGAATTCTTGATACCCGCGCATACATGCACACACACACACATGCACGCACACAGACCTACCTGCCTGCCTGCTTACCTACCTACCTACGTACCGACATGCATGCGCACACGCCCATACATACATACACAAACACACACACACACACACAGACACACATACACACACACACACACACACACACCACACACACACACACACACACGTACACACATACGTGAATGCAAACACATACGCACGTACGTACTTGCATACATATGTAAACATATGCAAGCACACCCATGCACAAACCTCAACGAGCAGAGCAACCCTGCAACAGACAGTGCTAACAATGGATACAATGGTTTTCCGAGAGATGTCGAAGAAGGTCACTGAGCAGAACAGCATTACGGTCATAGAATATATAGACCGGTAGGACGAAACAGGAGCAAGTCTACACAGCATTAGCACCCCCAAGGTGAGCAAGACAGCAAGGCACAGACGACGGTAAAGAGAAGACAACGACAACTGCTGTTCCAAATTCGCTGGCCCTTGAAAACCTACCAGAGAGAAGAAGGACTCTGCCAAACCGGGAACCCGAAGCAAACGCGAAAACTCATGTGCCGGTAGGCACAGTACTTGTTTAAGTAGGCGGCAAGTGTCCCAAAAGTGTTTGGAGCAGCGAGGTCGTCAGCGCTGCGACGCCTAACAGCACCTCATCCAGCCATCCATCAATCCAGTCATGCATCCCTCCATTCATTCGTTCACCCCTACACGTCCATCCATCCGATCATCCAGCATCGCAACTCAAAAAAGCAGAAAGTCAAACCCCCAAATTCCAAACCATTAAACTCCTTCAACCCTCAACTGGCCCTAAACCCAAAACCCAGTTCATGGTGTGATTATCGGGTTTGGGAATCAAAAGTCCAAGGGTTTGGGCTCCAGGCTCCTGACGAGTAGCGGCTTCCACCGCACAGTGGACCTGAAGGACGCAACCGCGCCTGAAGATGGAGGGCTCGGGTTTCCTTATTATGGGGCTCCAGTATCCCTTAGTCAATTAAGGAATATACCCTAACTTATAGGAGGATCCCTAGCATGATTGAAGGATTACTATTTAGTTAATGGATCTTGGACTCTCCGGGTTCAGGGTTTCGGGTTTCGAGGTTTTAGCAGACTGAAACCTCGGGAAGTCAAGAGGGATGATGATCGGATTTGGGCATTATTACAATGATTAAGGCTATATAATACGTGTATTAGTATTATTGTTATTACAATTATAGTTTTTTATTTACAAAATGTGATTCGAATAAGACTTACATGTGATTTCGTTGCAACAAGACGTCCCTGAATGCAAAACGGGCTTCCGAGTGTATGGTTGAGGTTCAGTTCTACGCCAAGCGAAGCTTTTCGAGCATGCTGAGCCTCCACTCTAAAGCCCTGAGCCGAAACCCTAAACCCCAAACGGGCCCCAAACCCAAAACTAGGGGAAAAAACCAAAACTTACCCTTGGTTAGTAGGGAATGGAAGAATGGTAGTAATAGTAGTTACAATTGTACCCCGTTCCTCCAATCCCTACTAACCACAGGTAAGTGAAGCCAAAATTCAGGTGTCCATCGCTCTTGCCACAGGCAGCTGCAGCCTGGAGGCTCTCAGACAGTCACTGTTGCGTCTTGGGGTTTCGGATTTTGGTGCCTTGGTTTACGATGTTGAGTGCTGTAGAACTATTTCTGTGAAGGCTTCGATAGGGGCTCTTATCAACAGTTTATCATGGTTCTCCTAACCCTTATATGAGGGTTGGGTAGGCTTAGTAGTAGAATCTATAGGTGGCCCTTATTCAACCTCTAGGGCTCTGCGGGGTCCGCGTCTTGAAGTTTTATGATCTGGTGGTTTGGGTTTTGGCTGTGGGGGTTCCGAAATTTCAAGCTGCTTTAGGGTTTACACGCATTGGGCTTCCTGGCGTTGCAGGTGTATGGTATGGTATGGCTTCGAAGTTTTTTTGTTTGTTGCCGGGGCCTGTAGGCTCGTTTTTCGCAAAGGTTAGAACCGAGCAGTCTCATGACTCTTGCTACCGATGTGCGACGAGTTCTTGGCAAACCGTTAAAGGAAGCTCGTCAAAGGAAGCTGCCAAGCCACTGAAGCCGCCAAACCCGATGACACAAATCTCGGCAATTGCGTCTTCATGCCTTACCTCCTACAGTACCAGAGCTGTGCTTCCTCAAACGCAAATCGGCATCGAGTTTGAACACATGAAATGCCATGCAGCTGTATCCCGAAACCCTACAAAACCTTGATGTGATTCTCTAAACTCTCATCTCCATCTCCGCACCCCTACTCGGACTCGAATCGCAAAATCGAAGCTAAACCCTAGCCTAACCTGCCCAAACATACTGTTTTTTGTAAATTCCCTCTAATTCCATATCAACGTTTAGAACAAGAGCCGACAGAAAGTGGTCTTTCTAATTCAAGAATAATGCAATATGACTCTCTTCCTCGCCTGCGTTTTTGATTTCGGAGAGGTGGGTGATGTGCTCCGACTCGCTGCGTCGCAGGGGAGTGCGGAGAAGTGTCCTAGCTGGATTCCCTGCAATGTTTGTTTTGGGTCTATCGGGTTTAGGGTTTGGAGTCAGGGCTTGCGGGCTTGTGTGGGATTGGCAATGTGGGATTTGAGGTTCACGAGTTTAGCACTAGGGTTTGGAATGATTAGCTGACGGATAAGATTGGGATTTCGGGTTCAGGTGTTTGGTACAGTCTGAATCCATGGGGGACGGAGAGGATTGGCGTGAGCCACAAGAGCCCAGCCCTCGACCCTATAACATCCTATAGGCTACCACATCACACAAACACGCATACATGCATCTAGAAATCAAAAGATTCAGAAGGCTGAACACTTGGTTGTACTATTCCGTTGGCCTGCTTGTCAACAGTCAACCACAACACCCCCCAAAGTCCCATTCTAAAAATATAAAATATAAACGTATACATATATATATATGTATATTTATATTAAGACTCCTAGACTGAGCCCTCCCATAATACCCTCCTATAGTTCACTTTTATGAAACCCTCTAAAAACTCCGAAGGAAACCTAGTCAGGTTGGGCATGGTGGTGCAAAGTACGCCAATGGATGCCTGCATTCGCTTCCGCCCGCTGGCAGCTGGTAAAGACAACATGCCCAGCTGCGAGGTGAGGAGGGTTTAGGGTGCAGGGGTTTCGGGTTTAGGGGTCTTGCAAGCCGGGGAGGGTTTAGGGTGTAGGGGTTTTGGGTTTAGGGCTTCTGCGAGGTGGAGAGGGTTTAGGGTGTAGGGGCTCCGAAACCGAAAATGCTGAACTCAGGACCCAAAGCCCACAGAGTCCCTCAGTCCCGAAGCTATACCAAGTCTGAAACCCCAGAATCTCAGAAATGCATCATGCTAGTGGCTGTTTTGTGCAGCTAGTTTCCTTTGAGGCCAATCCCCGGGGCACTCCAAGTATGCGACAAGTACTTACTTTGGGGTCTAAAAAGTTTATAGATACTAAATGTTCTGCACTAGATGGAGCCCCGGCGAAAAGCCCGGTAGGATCCCCAGATACGCCCTAAAGCCCTTCTGAGATAACGGTGAGCATCCAGGCTTTTTCGCGTTGGGAAAACCGGGCATGCGAATATCTGCGACTGCAAACATGGCAGTGCCCTTGCTTGCAGAATGGGAACGGTGGTACTTTGCTCCGCAGAGCGAGGTTAAAGACCTGCACAACAGAGGCGACTGTATTCCGGACAAAAGCGCGTGATGGAAGAACTCCTGCAGAGGTTCCTTTGTGTAGTTTGGTTGAAGGGTTTGAATGGTCTAAACTAGAGGCTTAGGGGTTTAGAGGTTAGGGGTTTAGGGTTTAGAGGTTTTGGGTGTAGGGGTTTAGGATTTAAGGGTTTGTCTAAGGTCATAAAGTTTAAGATGGGTCACCGTGATTACAAACATACGCACAGATACATGTATTGCGTGCATACATAAATTGTGTAGTGTGCCACTATGTAGTGAAAGTATAAGCTTGTAAATTTAGAGGGCCCGCTCAAGCGCTCACAGGTGTGAGCAAGTCAAACACTGACAAACACACTGATTGATACAGTATTGTATGCTCGCGAACGTCGACATATAATCACATGCAGCGGCTAAGTTATTCAGTCTGGCGCATGTGGGTTCGGAAGTAGAGCCACGGACACCCCTTCCCTGGGTTCTTGTTAAGGGACTTAACTTAAAGTAACCATGATACAGAAACCACATTCTTTACTAACCATGGATCCCTATTGTGGTAACCTAAGTTAAACTCCTTTGCTAAACCTAAACCGTAAACAAAAAACCCTAAACTTCCCTAAACCCTAAACCGTAAACCAAAAACCCTAAGCCCTTACAATAACCCAGTTTCCCACACCTCCCCCTCCCCTTCTCTCCGACACCAAGGGCTCTAGACTTCCAGGCGATGCTGCAGCCACCACTTGCCCAGAGACTCCAATAGGCCTTAATTAGAAATATGGGAGTTTCCGAAAATAAGGGGTGCCTTATTTTGGGGTCCTTATAATAAGGATCCTACCATTGAAGGTACTGTATTGGGGTCCCCTGTTTTCGGAAACTCCCATATGCCTTAAATTCTAGTAGGATCCCTAATATGATTTAAAGAATATTCCTCAATTAAGGGACATTGGAGTCTCTGGGCTTTCTGAATCACACACACGCCGCTAACCGATGTAGTCCGTCTTATGGATGACGGACATGAGGCGTTCAAGCTCGAAGTCCCAGACTGTAAATCCTGGCCTTAGGCCCGGAATCCGCAATCGTAAAGCCTGACCTTAGCACATCCGAAAACCCTAAACCCTAGCGAACCCTATATAGATGCTGGACTTCTGACTGGCACGCAGGATGCCATCTTCCCGCAGTCGGAGCGGCTTGTTCTCAATGAGCATGTACAGGGTGTTGCAAGAGCGTAGGTACTTGGTTCCGGATTCTGCTTAGTTCAGACCCCCAAACCGGGCTTGTAGTGGGGACTTCGGAAATTCATGACTAGGGTCACAGCAACCACAACCAGTAATCGATCCACTTTGGGCACCGATGTCCTTGCTTCTTGCTACACATGAACAACCCTAGCACAGTGTATCATAGTGTATTCTAGTATAATGACTATGGTATATGATACTTATTCTAGTATATTATGGGTATATTATAGTGTATTATAGTAGTCCAAATCCTAAACCCTTGTAGGGTTTACATAGCTCAAGAGCTCAAACCCGAACCCAAAGCAGTACACTCAAACACTCTAACCCCAAACCCTAACCCTTAACCCCGAAACCCTAACCCCCAAACCCCAAACCCTAAGAAAACTCAGCGGGCTTAGTATCTGAAGCCATGCCTGCCTCGTGCGAGTGTGTGAGTCGAAACCTTATAATACCGTGATTATAGAACCCCTTAAACGAACCTTTAAAGGAGCCCTACAACCGTAAACCCCAAGCCCCAAACCCTATAATACCCTGATATTACAGAGCCCCCTTAAACCCTTAAAGGAGCCCTAAAACCGTAAACCCCAACCCTAAAACCCACAAACCCCCGGAACCCCGAACCCAGAGCAGCCTGGCTTTACCTTGCTCTTCCTTTAGGGTTTGGGGTTTAGGGTTTATGGTTTAGGGGTTTAGGGGTTTAGGGGTTTAGGGGTTTAGGGGTTGGTTTGGATGCAAAAGGGTTTGGGGTTTGGGGTTTAGGGGTTTAGGGGTTTAGGGTTTAGGGGTTTAGGGTTAGGGGTTTAGGGGTTTGGGGTTTAGCGTATACGGGTTTAGGGATGTAGCGGTTTAGGGGTTTAGGGTTTAGGGTTTGGCTGTGTCAGGCTCAAGAAAGAGCTGGCAGCAGGCGGGGTGGGGTGGGCTTACTATCAGGTCGGAGTACCCAGCAAAGGTTTTTGTCAATCTCTTGCCCCCTTATGAACCTACTCTGCGTATCGCTTTCGGGTTTAACTTTAACGGATGAGGGTGTGCAGGACTTTAGGGTAAAGGAAGCGGCCAGCATAATAACAAGGGTGTCCACAGTTCCGGGTCTTAGGGCTGTTTTACTTGGTTCAGTGCTTTGAGCTGGTAGACTTGGTTGCTGAGGGATGCATACAGAGAGTAAAATCGGGTGGTCTGTTCGTTTCCCTGATCTCGCAGATGTGTTTATTCTCTGGCCCAAGGTGTTAGCGATGTAGATTTTCGGGTGCGTGTCATTATCGTCTTCATAGTAGCTTTACATCGGGTGTTGGTGTTGACAGATCTTCAGGCGTGTTTCCTACGCAGCACCTTCAGGTGTGTAGTGGGTTTAAGGAAAATCAGCCCCTTGTTTAAGAAGCCCGTATAAAACCCTTTCCAAACCCTAAAACAACCGTAGCAAACTCTGTGCAACCTTGTGAACCCCTTGTAGAAGGCTTTACGGATCCTTCTGAAGGGCCCGTCTAGATCCCGTGACAAAACTACACACATCTAAGTATATATGGTCAGGCGTCTAGCGTTCCCCCCCCCCCCCCCCCCCAATGGTATGGTCTGCTAGGGTGGGAGAGGGGGGGGGGGGGGGGCTGGCGTGTGCGGACAGGGGTCGGAGCCGTTGGAGCTGTCACTGGATGGTGGGATGGTGCTGGCGGCCAGGGCTCACACGCAAGCCCTTCGCAAGCAAGCCGTAAACCCTATAACGCAGCGCGTGCCCTTGTTTTGAGTAACCTTAAGTTGTACTTCCAACCTTACACCCAACCCTAAACCCCACCTAACTGCAGGCTCTAAGCCTAAAGCAGAACATACACCGCAAGTCCTCCCTAAGCCCTTGTCGACTCGAAGCGTTATACCTTGTAACCGTAAACCCAACACTCAAAAGCTTAAGCTAAACCCTAAACCCCAAAACCCCACAACCACCCCACAGGGGGAAGAGGGACCCCACACCCCGCACCACAGGGGAGGGGGGGTCCCACCCTATATCCGGACCATTGACCTTTGGGGGGGGAGGGGGGGGGGGGGGGACCGCGGAGCGCGTGACCATATATATATATATATATACACACATATTTATACATCTGTGTAGACACATACATACCGTTACATACCTGTGTATATTCCGTGCAGATCTCTTTCACGTTCCTTTTGTAAGCCTCTAAGCCCTCAAACCTATAAGCCCTAAGCCCTAGATGGATTCCTGTATTCGTGAAATAGCCCGCAAGATCCATGTGTAATGTAAGCTTGCAGAACCCTGATAAAATCCTAAAGACACCTTTTTAAGACCCAACAGCTCCCCTAAGCCCTATGTAATCCCTTCGAAATCCTTATTACAAATCCCTTGAAGGAGCCCTATATGGCCCTCCTGAACCCTCAACCCTTTCTGCTTCACCTTAAACCCTCAGCCTTTCTCTCTGCATAAACAAGCCTTATCAATCCCTTAGGCGAATCCCAAACAAGCCTATAGATCCCTATAAGAGCTTATAGATCCCCGTACTGGGTTCTTGTTAAGGAGTTTAATTTAAGTTACCATGATAAGGAAGCCCTGTTACGAACCTTATTATGGCTAGTTAACAAAAACGCAGTTCAAGGGATCCCTTTAGGAGCTTATAGATCCCTTTAAGGGGTCCCTGTCCAGGCCGCCTTTCTGTCCAGAGTGTCTCGCGCCCGGGCGCCGCGGTGCGCCGTCGCGGCGAGGCCTTTGCGTTTAAGGTTTAGGCTTTAGGGTTTCAGAGTTTAGGGTTATAGGGTTTAGGGTTTGGGGTTTAGGGTTTAGGGGTTCAGGGCAGAAAGAATGCTTTTGCTTAATTTAAAGTTCCTTCTCTTCAGCACACAGTGACTCAGCGTAGGCGGAGCCGAGAGCGATAGGGGTTCCTTTTCCCTAACAGGATCCACATCAAAGAAATGGGATCCTGTGGTTCTGCAGGGAATCCCTCAAAGGATCCAATAAGGAATCAGGGTTTAGGGCAGTTCTTTCATGGTTCCTTCGAAGTGCGCCACAGAGGATTCGGTCAGGGATCCTTTCCGAGCTGATATACAAAGATTTGGGGCTCTACGCCTCTTCAACCCGTGCAAACACTAAACTGGCCCTGCACTTACACGGCTTCGCGACCCACACTAATGTAGGAACCTGATTAAGAAACCCTGGGCCTGTAACCCCAAAAAAGTAGGCAAGGAGCCCTAATACAGGCAAGGTTTCTTAATCAGGTTCCTACATTAGATCTCGATCCCGAAATGCTAGAAGCAATGGAACCCTGGATTCCTTCCGCGCAACACAGTTTTGAATCCCGGCTACAGGGTTTCGGCTTGAGGCAAAGGATTGCACTGCTTCCATTGGCTGAAGGTCCTTGAACTCTACAGTCGAAAACAGAAGCTCTTAAACTTGTTTAAGTCCGTAAATCCGGGCAAAGCTCTTTAAAGCCGTACACCGCATGAACCTGAATCGTTCGCAGGCTAGCTCCCACACATTCCCTTATGTCGACAGTAACTTGCAAGTAGGTGCATGCAATATGTATATATGAGGATGTATATTCACGCACACAAGAAATCTCGCGAATTAATAAACATCCATGTCTCTATCTACCAAGTCATCCATCCAACCATCCATGTGCGCAGGCATGCATACAAACAGTGACATACATACATACGTACATACATACATACACGCACATGTCCGTACATACATGACACCAATCAGACTATCCGCCAAAGAAACAAAAGTCAGTCAGTCAGTCAGTCAGTCAACCAATCAATCAACCAACCAATCAAGCAATTAATCATTCAACTCGCTCAACCGAAAAATCAAGCAATGCATGCATCCATCCACACAGGCAAGCATGCATGCATGCATGCATGCATGCATACATACATGTAGATAGATTTTCCCGGGACTGAATCCAAAAGCCGGACCCCCGAACCAACCTTCTTTGATATTCATGCTTTCAGTACATCCAAAAAGCCCCATTCAGGCCTACAGTACTGCTGGAACCCTGATTACCCGTCGCTAGCATCAGGAGCATCTTTCGTTGAAAATATTCATAGATTCTCCGGCTAAGCCGTTCGATTCCTTCTGTTAGGGCCCCTAAAAAGCAAATCAGCAAAAACAATGTCAGGGATATCCCATAGCAACCCCTTTATAATGAAGCCCAATAAGGCAGGGACATCCCTATAAAATGCTTATGCTCATGTCCTTTTGGGGTCCCCTATCTGTGGTTCTTTGGTTCGCTACGCCCCAGGTTGGCGTGCTCTTCTCTCTTCATGCGGACCCCGGGGCAGGGCTTCTGCGAATTGGGATCGTTGTCTGTAGGATTGATACGAGGTGCTAAATGTTTCACAGGGTTGATAGATGGCACGTTCAGGAGCCTGTGATACCAATAACATTCCAAAATGTCGTCCATCTGAACTTCGGGCCCCTGTAGTATCCCTCTTGCGTGTCGCGCCTCCCGAGCTTCAATGCCCTCGACATGCATCCTAAACCCTGAACCCTAAACCCCAAACCCAAGCCCTCCCCCTGGAATCACTCTTAGCCGTACCTGTAGCTCCAAAACCTACAGAATAGTACCCTAAAACCCAAACCCACAAGTAGGTGCCAAACCGCTCGGCATGTATGCACCAGAAAGGGAGCTGCAGTCGCTCCAATCATCAATGCAACACCTAAAAAGCTCATAACCGATTAATCCCCGAAGGTGCCCAGTTCAAAACCTCGGAACGAGGGATATCAGGCCGCAGACCAAAAGCCCCGACCGACCCCGGGATAGGACACTCGTTAGGATGGAGGTATGATGTCTTGTATCATTTACCTCGATCTCTTCGTGCGTGAAAATTGTGTCTGTAGTATGTGCATATATATATATATATATATATGTGTATGTATATATATATATATACATATAACATACATGTTCCGGGGCCTTTGATGTCCGAGCCGCCAACGTTGTACGTGCTCCCCGATGCTGCAAGCTTTGTGTTTGGTGCTGGCGACACACAGCGAGAACCCGGAGGACCCTGAAGAGGCTCGAGAGCAACCGTGCCTTCAGGATTGAGAAGATAGGGTTTAGGGTTTAGGGTTTGGGGTTTGGGGTTTAGGGTTTAGGGTTTAGGGTTCCTGAAACGATCATCACCCCGCTGTTTCAGCGGAGGAAGATATCGCACCTATAGGTGCAACCTGGGACAAACCTGCATCCGCAAGGACCTGCACTCGTCTTGCAAGAGAGTGGGAATGATGCTTACATGGGCCCTGCATGAGCTCTCTGGTGTCCAAGTAGCCATCTCAGCCGTGCTATCGCTTGAAGCCATCCCAGCTCTTGAGCGAGTGTGTGAGTCGAAACCCATAAAGCCCTCGTT